AAAGAACCGGTTTGCCAGACTTAGCATCACTACTTTAATGTTGTCCATGTTTTTTTGTTTTTCTTTGTAATCATGTCTTTTTCGGTGTAACGCATGTAAAGTTGAATACTTATTTCTTTGTTCATGTAAAAAATATACCTAGTGTTCAAATTAAGACAGTTATGTAGCTAGGTATTGTGATTCTTTACACTTGTGTGAACTTGAGTATGTTACGTTGCGGGGACTGGAGGAAACAAGCAGAGGTGAGGATCTACATGCAGATAGTTTAATTAAGTGACAAAATAAACAAAGAACAAGAAACAAAAGAAGAGCGGGAACCATAATGTTAACAACTCACAAAGCACAAGAGAAACACAAGGGCTATATACGGAGACTTCAGATGCAAAAACCTCTAAGTCCGTCTGAGATTTTTGTTTTACATGAGCATTTTTATCATGCTCCTTTGAAAATAACATTGGCCGACTGGCTGATTAGGCTTTCAGATGCCCTAAATAGTCAATAATTAATAACTGTGACAATGTTGATGACTTGATAGAGTAACTTCCCCAACACATCTCACTTTGGATGTTTGCTCTCTTACTAAATGTCTAACTAAATGTTCTTTCTCTTGTTGTCAGGATGAGATCAGTGGCTCTTCTCTCGCTCCTCTTCATTCTGGCTCTGAGCGATGGAGCGGATCGACAGAAAAACGACCGATATGCTGAGTTCAAGAAAAAACACATTCTCCCAACTGATTTCCAAACAGATAATAAAATTGCTTGGGTGGAACACCTAGTGAACAATGATCTCTGTGGTAGAACTCCAGTACAATCCTTTATTAAAGACAGTGAAGAAAATATCAAACTAATCTGCAATGGCTCTGGTACTAAAACAAGAGATAACTATAACAAAAGTACAAATCTCTTCCAAGTGTACAATATTGAAAGTGAAAACAGTACATCACAGATGTTAGAATGGGAGTGCAAAGTTAACTGTTCTACAGCCAAATATCATGTAATTGTTGAATGTCAGAACAATCTACCTGTGCACTATCATGCACAACACATTGAAAAGAACAAACGTCCATACCCTTGCTATTATATACAGCATGATTTGGTTTTATCACAGTGGGAGTGAATAACTGAATGAGGCTTGAAACGCTGCATTCATTAAAAATGTTGCTATGCCACATGCATGTTTAAATGATATAATTCTAGAAACATTTCAGTTAAAGCTTTCTTTGCAGTGCACTATTATAAAATGAGCTGATCAAATGTATAGCTCGGAAGCAATGTCGCTTTGAATAAAATCTGCCAAATGCATAAATGTATCTGTTCTTTTGTGAAAGCATTCTGATTATCTTTGAGAAACAAGGTATGCTATACACAGTTACTCTTTTAGATGCTTAATCATGATGTCTGAAAATCATTTCATTACATCAAGTGCCTCAAAAGCTGCAGGATCGTTTCTCTTTTCTTCATCACATCTGAAGTCTCATTCTGTCAGACCTGCACAACTTCTGTGGCTGTTTATAAAAACACGTCACTTCGATTTACTTAAACGTGAATTTCCTAAGGGCAGAATCTCGAAGAAGCAAAAATGCCAATACATTTTGCATAATGGCAAGAAGCAAAAACAATAAAGGGTGTATTTTCACTCCTGCCTCTTTTCAACCTTATCAACATCAGTCCAGTGAGCGTCTCGGACACTTTCTGATCTTCAGCTCAGACTCATCGAGACTCTTTCATTCACACAAACTCAAGAACAACGCAACGGTAAATCTGCATTCAGTACACATGTGGTTAAAATGTGAACACTACAGTTTAGATACTGAAGGATCATAATTGTATTATAGTACCATATAGTACAGTATTTTCCTGAGGATCCTTTGCATCAAGAAGCTTCTTTTAAAAGCTTTAGTTTGAGTTAGATTGTGCAGTAAATGCTGACGTCAAACACAAACGGTTTGCATGGGAAGAAACCTTGTCAAAACAACTTCACACGTTTTTGTTCTTTCACAGCATAAAATACTGAAGAGGAAAGAGACTCGTCTAAGCAATCGGTCTAATGAACAGGTAAACACGCACCATTTTGTGACTTAGTTTTATGTTATGTTGTATTAATGCGCTCAGATATACTCAGATATCTGTTTTATGATGTATGCTGTGAATGTGT